CAAAACGAAAGCAGCCAATTCGGTTTATTTCTCCAGCATTACCTCGCGGATTACCCTACTGTTATCTATTTATTTTGTGATTTTCTTACATTTAGAGTGTCGTTAACCAGTTTCATCAAGTTAAGCAGTTGCCACAGCGCATTAAGTATCTTATCAAATATGTAATTTTTACTTTGTTTTTTTAATGTTAGGAGAACGGAACAAGAGTTTGAAAAAAGGGGACGGTAAATTCAGGCATTCCACTGCAAAGAAGTAAGTGGTGAGAAGGGGGATATACACAGGTTCAAATTCCTCCAGAGATATAAACTGTCCGTTTAACAAAGTTGACGGACGTTGTCACTGACAAACTAACTGCTGAATTATTTGAATTACTGATTTATTTGCAAACTAGCTAGCTCCTTAACCTACAGGCTAAACGGTTGAAAGAGTGACTGTCGCTAGCGGACTTACCTCACTGAATAACTGACTCACTAACTTCCTTACTCACTGATTAACCAGCTGACGGACTGACTGACTGAATTACTGACAAAAATGACTGAGCAACTGATAAACCAACAAACTGACTACTTGACCGACTGACTGAATAAATGCTGAACAATCGCCAGAACAACTGTGTGCCCAACCTAGCAGCCAACCAAAAGATTGATTGATAGTTTATTTTATTGACTGAATGACCGACTGATTAAATGACAGAACGGGGCTTTGTACATAAATAATTCTTTTGCAAGATTATAGCGATTGAGCGTTCCTTTTCTTTTCCTTGTTTTACTTTTGTTTTGTTTGTTTGTTTGTTTGTTTTTTAACAGAAAAAGGGAAAAATCAAGATCAATGCGTCGAAAGTCACCTTCGGCTACCGAAGCTATCGATGAAGAACACACTTTTGAAGAGGACACAAAACTGTAGGCAGTTAAATTCGAGGAAATTATTATGAATTCTAAACAATCTAACGAGAAGAAATGGCAATTAGAAATCGATAATCTCGTCTTTGTTTTTTATTAAGCGTATGAGATACACGATAGAAAAAAAAACGGTTTTGTTAATTTTGCGTCTATTTAGAGGTAAACGAGGACTTAGTTATATTGAACCAATCTGTGTACGTTACTTAGTTAAACAAAATTTCACTCGATCTTTGGCTGTCTTTAAAAAAATCCCTAACAAAACGATTTTTTTCTAACGATAAGTTATAAGTTTTCAGATTTAGACAATTTAATTGATGTTTTAATGGTTTATGAGTTAGTGTTTCATATCCATGACTGATATGGTCTCCGTGGCCAATTCACATATCAGTGACATCATCTTATGGATCGTGTCTACAGTCACAAGAAGTTTCAACTTTCCCTCACCTAAACAAAAACACCCATGCGGTTGATTGGGATCCTTTAAGACACCTGCTATGAGGAGTCTTTTGAGGGCAAATTAAGACAGCTGGAGATGGGAAGCGCATTAAAGGTAGAATTAAGTAACTGAATTGTGTTAATTGGCTTACAACGAGAGGATGTAATACCAAGAATTGTTATGGGAAGTCATTATCAAATATTAACTTCTAGAGTGCCCTTTCACGGTGACTTGGAGGTTATGTAACTATGATGCCATTCTACCAGAATTTTAGTGTTTTAGGCCGGCGGAATGTTCTAAAATACGTTTCAAGAATTCAGTAATCTAGGAGTAATTATGCATTTCAAGCTAAACTGAGAGAGAGAGCCACTATGATGTACATCAAAGATTGTGCATTTAAAAGATATTGGGTAAAAACAGTGAGTTTGTGTCAGTGGAGAACTAAGGAACAGTCTGTAGTGGTTTGTAGAAGATAATCACGGTATCGCCTAAAGGAGTCGCTTCTTAGTAAGCATTTTTACGCATTGTTTAACAACGTAGTTCGGTTTGTAGCAGTGTAGGATTCTTTCTGTCTGTTAGAAAATACCGTGACAAAAGATTCCAAAGTGGTTTTCAAGAGTTTTGATTTAATGCTTGCTCATTTTTCCTGCTTGATTATGTGCTTCATTATTAGAACAATACCAGGTTTTTCTTCATATTTTCTGCAGAGTTCAGAAAATGCATGCTTTCTGACTCATTGGATTATATAACATGTTGACCCTCATTAAAAACAAAAATAATAACCTATGTGCTTATATGAGATAAGAAAACTTTAATTAGTGAAGTTTTAGCAAATTGATCCATTGGCATATCAAAGAAGGTGCAAGTTATAATAGCACCATTCAGCTCATAGAGGTTGATTAAAAATTTTCGTTCTTAGTAATTAGATAATAATATAAATGCTGTATTCAATTGGATTATTACTGTCATTATTATGATAAAATAAAAATAACGAGAGGGATCAATAACACCTTGGCTATTTGAAGTGCTGTTTATTTTGTATACTTGGATATTTGCAGATGAGGCGAGTGTTTACAAACAGAAAATCAGTATGCAACAACGATGGAGTTATTTCTATTTCAGAAGAATAGCGCTTGGAGCTAATACAGTATAGTTTTAACTCGGCTTTGAACTTTGGCTATCGTCTGACAAGAGTTGAATAAGAACACTAATTTACGTTATTATAACGTGATCCTCAAAGACAAAAGTAAATGGGCAGTCCGAGTTTTGAAGGTTTTCATGGACGAAAACAAGAATCAAACACATTTAACACTCGTATAGTATGTATAGTTTCGTGTTCAAATAAAAAAATATTAGAACAAAACAAAACAGGAAAGATGAAAAACATAGCCAAATTAGCATAAATATAAAAATTCATACTAATTACGTTGGTGTCAGAGCGACTGCGATCATGCTTAGGTCCCTCATTGCGATCTCCGCTCATCGCAAGGGAGAAAGGCTCAGAAGTTACATCGGCCGCCCTTTGAGTGAAAAACGAAGAGCTTTCTCTCATACCCTTCCAATTTCTAAAGAAAATTTTGTATTCTATTACCAAAAATGTATCATTGTGCGTGACTAGATTTTTTCGAAAATGGCCGCACGAAGAATATCAATTAATCTCTCTTAAGCATTTTAACTAGCTACGAAGCTTACCAAGAATCTCGATTTTAAAAATTCAATCACGTTTAACCAAGTTTGTTTTCTTTTGCTTTTTTACTTTTGCTGGTAGCGTTCTCAAAACAAAGAAACTGTGTTTCAGATGTAGTTAGAAAACACTGCAAGAAAAAAATTAAAAGTCTATTGTAATTGATAAAAGCATGGTGAAGCTTTGCGATGTAAAATTTTACTTACGAAAATATGACGGATTTCATATTAAATAATGAAACTGTAACAAAATTCTTGAACGTGATTGGCTATCACCAGTCCGATTTGAGCTGATAGGACAGAGTAGGCGTCATGCTTGTAAATATACAATGCAATAGGACAGTTAAAGGGACAGTTGACACTTCATGTCCGTGTAAGTTAACAGAACGCGTCGTGCGCGCGCGCTGTTGTCTCGCATTTCGCCAAGTTAACTGTTGTTTCTTTTAAAAAATGTATAACCGATGTTAAGTTTCTTTCTAAAAGTTTGTAATTGTTTTGATTGATGGGTAACGGGACTGCATGTCGTCCAATTATGTCTGTAATCATACTCGTTAGTAACACATCGCTTCGTCGTCCGATAATCACTCGTATGATTACAGGCCGAATTGGACTCCACTCGGTCCTATTACTGGTATTAATTAGGACCGTCAAAATTTCCTTGAATGTGATTGCTGGATGAATTTCCCTTTTTTAACTAATTTTTGGCGATGAATCCGATTTCATTTTCCGGCATGTGACCGAATTGGACAAGAAATAAAATTAAAAATTCAACCTTTACAGAGTAACACTGAAGGCAGCCATTCTAATCTCCACAGATTTCTAAGTGAAAGCTGTGGTATAATGTGGATGCGAAAAGGATACTGAAAGGAAAAAAAGTAAATTGCAAAATTAAAAATACATTATGTATTCTCTTCCATAACAGAAAATCTCTCCCTGTTTATAAATTGTCCTACTAAAGATCTTGAAAATCGTCACAACGGGCGTTCGCTTTAATTAACTTTGACTTCTATAAAACTCAGGAAAATGAAGAGATCCAATCAATTGGATTGTGGTTTTTGTGGTTAAGTACCTTAATGTCTCACAATGACAAGCAGTCAACGGCTTTCTCTTCAGAATTTAAAGATGTCTAAATATTTAAAATAAGAAAAGAAATCCTTAAAGTAAGTGGATTTAACAAAAAGTGTTGGTTACTTATTGATCAACCCTTATCGTATCGATAGCGAAATTTGTTATTAATTAGTCTTGAAGTTCGCACGAAACAAAGTATGCATGCATCAAGATTATTCAGTGATGAGATGCCTGAGCTTGACATCTTTAATCCAACATTTTCATCATAGGTTACAGAGCAAACATGCGTGTCTGCATATACAAAGGCCGTCCGAGTATTTTGCTATAATTGAGCCAGCTTATTCTGAATAATTCTAACTTTAACGTGTCCAGAGCCAAGGTTTCGAACACAAATCGCCAAAGCATGATCATAGTTCCTTTTCGCCTCCTCATCGTGACCCTGATCATTGTGTGCGTCACCAATATTTTCATAAGTTTCTCCAACTTTAAGATGATTACGTCCGAACTGTTTTAGGCAAATGTCCAGTGCAAGTACATGGTAGTCCATTGCTTGCTGGAAATCACTTACATTTCTGTATAGAGTACCCAGGTTATTGAAAGAATCTGCGACATCTACATGCTCAGGTCCGAGCTGTTTCAGACGAATGTCTAGTGCACGTGTATGGTAGTACTTTGCTTGCTGGAAATCAGTTAGATCACTGTACACAGTACCCAGGTTATTGTAGGAAGATGCGACATTTCCATGCTCGGATCCAAGCTGTTTCAGACGGTGCACGTGCATAGTTGTCCTTTGCTTTCTGGAAACAGCCTAGATCACTGTACACAGTACCCAGGTTATTGTAAGAAGCTGCCACACCTACATGCTCAGGTCCGAGCTGTTTCACACGAATGTCCAGTGCACGTACATGGTTGTGCTTTACTTTCTGAAGATCACTTAGATTTCTGTACACAGTACCCAGGTTATTGTAAGAAGCTGCGACATCTATATGCTTAGGTCCGAGCTGTTTCACACGAATGTCCAGTGCACGTGCGTGGTACTCCTTTGCTTTCTGAAAATCACCAAGATGGCTGAATACAGTACCCAGGTTATTGTAAGAGGCTGCCACATCTACATGCTCAGGTCCGAGCTGTTTGGGATAAATTTCTAGTGCACGTGCATGGTTATCCTTTGCTCTCCGGAAATCACCTAGATCACTGTATACAGTACCCAGGTCATTGTAAGAGGCTGCCACATCTACATGCTCAGGTCCGAGCTGTTTCAGACGAATGTCCAATGCACGTGCAAGGTAGTACTTTGCTTGCTGGAAATCACCTAGATCACTGTATAGTACCCAGGCTTTTGCAAGAAGTTGCAAAATCTACATGCTTAGGTCTGAGCTCTTTCAGATTAATGTGCAATCCACGTACATAGTAGTCCTTTGCTTGCTGGAAATCACCTAGATTTCTGTATACAGTACCCAGATTATTGTATGAATTTGCGACAGCTACATGCTTAGGTCCGAGCTGTTTCAGACGAATGTCTAGTGTACGTGCAAGGCAGTCCTTTGCTTGGAGGAAATCACCTAAACCACTGTATACATTACCCAGGTTATTGTAAGAAGTTGCGACATCCATATGCCAGGGTCCGATATGTCTCAGACGAATGTCCAGTGCACGTGCATGGTAGTCCTTTGCTTTCTGGAAATCACTTAGATCGCTATATACAGTACCCAGGTTATTGTACGAGGCTGCGACATCTACATGCACAGGTCCGAGCTGTTTCAGATAAATGTCTAGTGCACGTGTATGGTTGTCCTTTGCTCGCTGGAAATTACTTAGATGACTGTATACAGTACCCAGGTTATTGTAAGAATCTGCGACATCTACATGCTCAGGTCCGAGCTGTTTTAGACGAATTTCCAGTGCACGTACATGGTAGTCCTTCGCTCGGTGGAAATCACGGAGATTACTGTATATAGTACCCAGGTTATTGTAAGAAGCTGCGACATGAGTTTGCTCAGGTCCAAGCTGTTTAAGACGAATGTCCAGTGCACGTGCATGGTAGTCCTTTGCTTTCTGGAAATCACCTAGATCACTATATACAATACCCAGGTTATTGTAAGAGGCTGCCACATCTACATGTTCAGGTCCGAGCTGTTTCAGGTAAATGTCTAGTGCACGTGCATGGTTTTCTTTTGCTTTCTGAAAATCACCTAGGTCACTGTATACAGTATCCAGGTTATTGTAAGAAGCTGCGACATATACATGCTCAGGTCCAAGCTGTTTCAGATGAATGTCCAGTGCATGCGTATGATAGTTCTTCGCTTGCTCGAAGTTACCCTTACATTTGTGCGTGGTTCCCACAAGGAGATAGAGTTTTGCTTTTCCGAGAGCGTCGTTTGCATCACCTGAGTGTATAATTTTCAAGGCCACTTCGAAGTAGGTCATAGCAGCTTCGTATTCACAATGGTTGAGGCACATATTTCCTAGGATCAGAAGGTCATTACGGTAATCTTGCAAGGGAATAACACCCATTTTGCTGACTTGAGATTATTCTTGCATAGAAAACAGAGATGGCTGGATTTTAGTCTCCGGTTACTAAGAACTCAGCTAGTATCCAGCCATCTTAACAGAACAAGCTTGGTCAATAACTCCAATTTATCGACCAGTAGCACAGAGCTTGCGTACTAATTTTGCCGCTGTGTTGTGGTTCATAAAAAAACGAACAGTATACGCACAGAAGTTAGGGCATGACATATATAGAATTTTCTCGTAAGGCAACCCTTATACACTCATTTAGGACTTGTTTCGAAACTGCTTTTCAGACCACTAGATTTTGGCAAAGATTCTAACATGTATTGTCCAGGCGTGTTATCTATCAACCCTTCAGTTCAACTTGTCTTCTGAAAATTTGTTTCGTATGGCACATTTAGCCTTCAAAACGTTTTTATCATACTGCATTGAAGATTACAGCGTTAACGTATTAAGTTTGAGTGCAACTATATTTGATGGCCTTTCTCGCCTTTACGTAAAATCCTATAGACTTACTCTGGCCATTCCTCCTGTTTTTCGGAACAGCTTCATTAACGAGTCGAAACGCAAGTTTCTCTGATGATTTGTCATTGTGTTCTTCGCATTATTCACCCGCTGATGAGTGAATAATGTTCATTAGCAGGGGAGGGCGCACCAATCAGTTACTGACATCAATAAAATGGCTAATTTTGTATCTACTGATTCAATTCAATCACCTTTTTTTTTTCTTAGTTGTCATGTTATTAGCAGTTTATAAACTAAAATATTGCTGTTTTAAAGGGGGCCTTGTTTTGGCGTTGATTATTTCTATCCGGCTTGGGTCGAGCAATAATCCAAAATGTCAAAGTTTCTTGTTTTCCTCCAGTTCTTCAAAATTCTAACAGCTTTTACTATTACTACTAGTGAACAATATCGCAGATCTGATGAAAAGAATAATGTTTATTTTGTCGAGCATTTGAATAGAATGCTAAACATTGATCAACTGGCATCTTACAAAGTCTACGATTCAATGGCCTGTGGCCTTCACTGCATCCGACACGAACTTTGCATCTCTGTCAACTTTGCAGTTGAAGCGGATCTAACGGGACACTCCTGTGCGCTGCTGAAAGCGGACAGATTTCGATATCCCAACAAACTTAACTGGAACAACTCTTATCATCACTACAGTTTAGCGGTAAGGAAAAAGTTTATTAACGCTAAAATAATACCTAAAAACTCATATCAGATATGTTTCAGATTAAAACCTCGAGGCGAATACTATTCAAACCGAAATTGAGGATTCCGTGGAATAAGCATACTCACAAAGAACAAAAACAAATATTTTAAGATGAATGTGTTACTTATAAAAGAAAGAACTAATCTGGTTGAAAATGGATGCGTCCTCACATAAGATTATTTTGCAAAAACCCTAAGCAAAAATTAAAAAAACATCAAGAGTTTCAAAAACGGTTTCAAATATAGGCTTTAATGACTATTCTGGACAGGAAAAATATGTGTTGCTCATACATATCCATGGTTAACACAAAGCTGTAATTTTGTTGTTGTCGGGCGGCCTAGATTTTTTCTTTCATTGACTAGGAATACCGGGCTAACTTTGACATTGTTTTTTTCTACACATCCAGTTCTTTCTATTGCTACCACTATCAGATTGAAAATATGCTCCGACATGGTGCGTGCGCCTTCACGCGAAATAATTTAACTAGTGTTAAGTTCAACTGAGCGACAACTGATAAGTTCTTTTAAGTGCCTCCTGTTGCCATAGTGTCCTGACACTTAAAAAGTAAAAAGAGGCACATGGTGTTTGGTCAAGCCGTCACCTATTGAATTAATCGGTAGCGTAAATCGTTTCCTATACAAAAAGAAATTATTAAGGATGGAAATTGGTAAAAATCGCAGTGAAAACAACTTCTCAAACAATGGAGACTGTATGAAAAGATGGCCGTAATAAGAACCTTTTGTGCAAAATTAATTTTAATTTTCCGACATTCGCTCCCTTCAAAGACATTAATAGCGGGATCTGGCTCCATGAAACAATTCCCCATAACACTGATTGGCAAAGTTAAATTGGGAAAGATGCACATTATGATAAGATTTGTTTCGAGTAATACCTTCAAAAAAAAGAAAGAAAAAGTGAAACAAATTCTCGCACAAACAATGTATGGCCTGCATGCAAAGAAGCAATGCCGATTTCATTTCTTCTTTGTTTATTTTCATTTCATGCCTCTTTATCATCGATTGTATAATTTTCTTTTCTTTTCCCGGTGAACCTACAAAAAACCCCTTCTATCGAGGTCTTCAAATAAAGTACTTTACTTATCGAACTACTTCAATCATGCTAGTTCAATTTCTTGTGGAATAATCACGGCAGCCGATCAGAACAGAGGGCGATTTTACGGAAAGTCTCATCATTTACTTAACAACTATTCACGGAAGCATAGGTGGCTAATGAGTGATATTTACATAGGCGCACGACGGCGAGGTAAATATCCACTGCTCACCACCAATACTGAGATGTAATAGTATTAGTATATACTAAAACAGAGAGATAATATAGCACAAAAATATGATTTCAAGTGATTAGCAAAGGATAATCGGAATTTGAGTAGCCAATCAGAGCGCGCCTTTAACGCTATCCAGTGTTTCGGTATATAATAAATAGAGAATAAATGGGTGCGCATAGTGAAGAGAAATTCCATATGTAAAAGCAACCATGTATTATTTTGTTTATCATGCAAACACAATAGCCCTTTACCGACTAGAAAATAGTACAGTTGGTTGGCCCACTCAAGCGTAAACATTCGTTGAATCACTACAGAAAAATATACAAATTCTCAGTTATTGACTTAGTCCCTGCCAAAATAAATTTTCAGGTAAATGACCAAAATCGGACCGTGGCAAATCTTCCAGTTGTCTTTTTTCGTTCTCAGCCGCGAGAAATGACTTTACCAAAGGCCGAATACGTAACTTTCGGTTTTTATTTCCGTAGTTTGGTTTTCTTTCTCTTCAAGGGAAGTTTGAACATCACTGTCTTAAAGCTACGCGGATTTTTCAGTGTTTTAGCAGCCATAATCCAAAAACATTGCGACAAACTCGCGATGAATTATTCCTTTTTCAGAACTTATGCGACAACAAGCCCTGTGGTGGAATCAGATGCCGTCCGTTGTATGGATCAAACGGATATACATGTGAACGCACTTCAAGAATCATTGAAAAAGGTAACATTGCTTTCAATAAAATTTATTATCTTCCACATTATGATCTTACAGATAATAACACTGATAATAATAATAATAATTATTATTATGACATTGATAATAATATTATCAATAATAATAGTGATTTGATTTGATATATATAACACAAATTTAATCGTCAAGTCTCCAAAGCCAAACTGCGTGGACTCAAATTTGAATAACATGAATATTAATGACACCGATATTAATAATACCAAGAATACAATTGTAAAATGATATTTAAAATAACCTTCATGAGGTTTTTCAAAATAAAAGTTTATTTTTCTTAAGTTTAATTGGTTTCACACTGAAACATCACAGTCAACATGGAGGCCTCAGTTACAAGGCAGAGTTTATTTGGCCATCAGAATCTTTTCTTCCCTATTCCATCTCTTTCTCTTTATTTTTTCCCTTTGTTTGTTTCCCCTTTTCCCGTTCAGGTTAAATGAAATCAGTATTGTAATCACAAATCAGTTTGAATCGAAGTCCGGTCCAGTTTTTTTTTTTTTCCAATGAAGCTACTAACAATGATTTAAGCTCGCTGAGGTTGGTATCGCTGAACGATGTCATTCAACTGGTGAAAATAATTCAGCTTGATCTACATATAACTTATAATTGGATTTGGCTCAGTGACAAAAAGCGTCCGCGATAATAAGCTTTAGACGAAGTACCATTGGCAAAAACAGAATGAGCAAGAGCAAGCGATCAACATCTCATATTTTGTGCGTCTTTTCAGCTTTTCCTTGGCTCCAAGTCAACCCAAATAGAGTATGCTTCGGTGCTAAAGATGACTCCTATGGAGCATTCGCTGTCCCTTACGATGGTAATGTCGTATCCTTGAGGCTGGTTTACATTTCAGGATTTGTCTCTTGCCAGTACCATACAATGCCTCAAGGAAGTCACTGGGGATGTGCAAAGGAAAGTCAATTAACAACCCTGGTGACAAATGAAAGAAACGAAGTGATTTTTCCACGCTACAATGATCGTAAAATTTATTCCTTAGCTGGCTATAACTACAACTCGCCAGAATTGATATTCAAATTACTCTCTCCCCCTCTGAAAGTGTTCTCTGGATATAAATTTCGCATATGGTACAGGCAGGATTTACTCAACTCTTCCGAAGGTAATAACTATGGCCAGACATGCGCTAATGTGTATGTACTGATGAATTAATTCAACAGAGGCCGAATTGCTCCTAAAATGCCATGGCGTACCGATTGTGTTCTTAGGCAATGACGACAAAATGCACTAAGACCAAAAAAAAAACATATATAGATATATATAAACACATATATAAATGTGGGGGTAGAGTCTACCTTGGCATAAAGTGCTCAATGCTGTGGTAGCAGAGCTGTGTATATATAAGTGAAAGAATCAAAGAGGACGCATCGATTCTCTGTTACTCTGAGAACTCAGGGTAACAGAGAATCGATGCGTCCTCTTTGATTCTTCACTTATAGAAACACATATAACAGACTTTCGTATTTATACGGTTTGTTTAAAGTCTTACGAAATATGATGTCTTCAGAATGGAAAAAAAACATAAATATTGCATTCACATACTGTCAGTAGAAACTTGCAGAAGAAAATGAGACATTTGCTTTGAACAAAGAGAGCAAT